TTAATCACCTGCATACGGAGTTTATATATCTTAGTTGATTCGATACGCAAGAGCATGCTCTACGTATGACCAGTTTCCAAAACGAGGTAAATCATTGACAAACAAGGACTTCAGCTGTCTCGTTGAAAGTAATCATTTCGTAAGTTCTATGGTCGATACAATAACCTTGTCAGCAAAAACAATCTATCATTGAGTCAAATGCTGTATGACTGACGTTTTTCATACTAATTGTTAGTCCATGATTTATACACTGAATTGACGACGGATTTTTCCGTTATATTCCTATCATGACAAGCAGCACACGGAGAGTGTGACCGGTCGGCAGGGGATGCTCATTCCATCATGGCACCTGATCCTACCTCTGATGTTTAGGAGGTCCGTGATTGCTCTGCTCCTATTTTGTATTGTTTTGCTGACTTTTGATCTTGAGTACTGTTCGTTATCTCCTTATGTTTCATTTGATAATATATACAAAATTAAAATTCGTCATCAACATATGAGCATTTGAGATACAACTAGGAGACTTATTGTTCAAAGAACAATAAGAGGTCTTTCCACCTTTCGAATTTCAATTTCATTTGATATTTATCTATTTAAAATTAAATTTCATAAAAAAGAAACCAGGAATGGCTTCAAAGAAGAAAACAAAATAAAAATGAAAATTTTTTAGGTGACCTTGACCTTCGAGTATATTCAAGGTCGAAGGTCAAGAGTCACATTGTAATTAACCCCATGTCTCTATGACTTATAGTTTTAAAGTTATAAGGTTTAATAGTAAGTACAAAAGCATTTAAGGGCAGTAACTCATTCAAGGAGTCACCAGATCCTTTTGCACTTGAACATAAAAGTTTTGCCTAATGTCCAATAAGACATTATATAAGGTTTCATGTCTTTGCGGTTTACAGTTTTGAAGCAACAGCAAAAAAAAAAAAATTCGCACAAGGGGCAATAACTTTTAATAGGGTCAATCTTAAGGGACAAGAATGAAATCTTTGACACAGTTTTAAGAGTACATATTAATGATGCATAGACATTAAGCATATGTTGAAAGACAAAAGAGATATAAAAAGAGCCAAATTTCTCAGTTTTGGAATGACTTTGACCTTTGACCTTTACATAAATTTTAAGCTCAATGGTCAATAAATCTTATGCAGTTGGTTTTATGTCTCTACTCTATCTCGTTTTGAAAATTTTTAATTATTTGTAAAATTAAAAAAGTTTCAGGGGCAATAACTCATTGAAGGGGTCACTGAAGACTTTCGCAATGAATAGATTCCAGAGTCCTCTCAATTAGTCGAAGACTTTAGTGAAGGTTTCATATTTCTACGGTTTACGGTTTCGAAGGAGTAGCGATAACAAGGTTTTTCGCACAAAGGGCAATAACTTTTAATAGGGTCAATCTTACGGAATACGAATAAAATCTTTTAAATAGTTTAAAGAGTACATATTATTAATGCTAAGACAGTTTGTATATGTTAAGAGACAAAAAAGATATAAAAAGAGCTTAATTTCTCAATTTTGGAATGACCTTGACCTTTGACCTTTGCAATAATTTCATGATCAAAGGTCAATGAATCTAATGCAGTTGGTCCCATGTCTCTATCACTTCTCGTTTTGAAAATTTTTAATTATTTGTAAAATTAAAAAAGTTTCAGGGGCAATAACTCATTGAAGGGGTCACTGAATACTTTCGCAATGAATAGATTCCAGAGTCCTCTCAATTAGTCGAAGACTTTAGTGAAGGTTTCATATTTCTATGGTTTACGGTTTCAAAGGAGTAGCGATAACAAGGTTTTTCGCACAAAGGGCAATAACTTTTAATAGGGTCAATCTTACGGAATACGAATAAAATCTTTTAAATAGTTTAAAGAGTACATATTATTAATGCTAAGACAGTTTGTATATGTTAAGAGACAAAAAAGATATAAAAAGAGCTTAATTTCTCAATTTTGGAATGACCTTGACCTTTGACCTTTGCAATAATTTCATGATCAAAGGTCAATGAATCTAATGCAGTTGGTCCCATGTCTCTATCACTTCTCGTTTTGAAAATTTTTAATTATTTGTAAAATTCAAAAAGTTTCAGGGGCAATAACTCATTGAAGGGGTCACCGAAGACTTTCGCAATGAATAGATTCCAGAGTCCTCTCAATTAGTCGAAGACTTTAGTGAAGGTTTCATATTTCTACGGTTTACGGTTTCGGAGGAGTAGCGATAACAAGCATTTCTTGCATAAAGGGCAATAACTTCGAAAGGGGTCAAAGTTCAAACAAGGGCTGTCGTTTTTCAGAATAACTTTTGATATCCAGTTTCATGAACTATAAAGTTTTTCGATAAGTCTTGCGGTTTCAAAAGTCCGGGAAGAAAAATAATAATAACTAGGAGACTTATTGTTCAAAGAACAATAAGAGGTCTTTCCACCTTCTTTGAATTTCAGTTTTGTTATATATCTGACTCCTTAAAATTAAAATCCATGAATAAGAAAACAAAATTGTCTTAAAAGGATAAATAAAAAAAATAAAAATTTTAAAAAATTGAAACGACCTTGACCTTTCACCTTGAAAAAAATCTTCAAGGTCAAAGGTCAAGGGTCCCAATGCAATTAACCCCATGCTTCTACAACTTAAAGTTTTCAAGTTATGAGGTTTAATAGTAAGTACAAAGACATTAAAGGGCAATAACTCATTTAAGGGGTCATCAGATCCTTTCACACTTATATAGTGAAGTTATGCTTAAAGATCCTTAAGACATTAGTGAAGGTTTGGAGTCTCTACAGTCTGCAGTTTCTGAGGAGTATCGATTACAAGGTATTTTGCACAAGGGGCAATAACTTTTGAAAGGGTTAATCCAAGGGGACAAGAATGAAATATTTGAAATAGTTTTAAGAGTACATATTAATGATGCAAAGATATTAAGTATATGTTAAAAGACAAAAGAGATATAAAAAGAGCTTAATTTATCATTTTTGAAATGACCTTGACCTTTGACTTTTGCATAAATTTCATGGCCAAAGGTCAATGAATCTTATGCAGTTGGTCCCATATCTCTACAACTTTTCGTTTTTAAAATTTATAATTATTTGTAAAATTCAAAAAGTTTCAGGGGCAATAACTCATTGAAGGTGTGATCTAATACTTTTGCAATGATAGATTCAAGAGTTCTCTCAATTAGTTGAAGACTTTAGTGAAGGTTTCATGTCTCTGCAATTTACGGTTTCGAAGTAGTAGCAATAACAAGGTTTTTCACACAAAGGGCGATAACGTTTAATAGGGTCAATCTTAAGGAATACAAATTAAATCTTTAAAATAGTTTTAAGAGTACATATTAATGATGCTAAGACAATTTGTATATGTTAAAGGACAAAAAAGATATAAAAAGAGCATAATTTCTCAAATGTGGAATGACCTTGACCTTTACCCTTTGCATTAATTTCATGATCAAAAGTCAATGAATTTTATCCAGTTGGTCCCATGTCTCTATCACTTCTCGTTTTGAAATTTTTTAATTATTTCTAAAATTAAAAAAGTTTCAGGGGCAATAACTCATTGAAGGGGTCACTGAATACTTTCGCAATGAATAGATTCCAGAGTCCTCTCAATTAGTCGAAGACTTTAGTGAAGGTTTCATATTTCTACAGTTTACGGCTTCGAAGGAGTAGCGATAACAAGGTTTTTCGCACAAAGGGCGATAACTTTTAATAGGGTCAATCTTACGGAATATGAATTAAATCTTTAAAACAGTTTTAAGAGTACATATTAATGATGCTTAGACAGTTTGTATATGTTAAAAGACACAAAAGATATAAAAAGAGCTTAATTTCTCAAATTTGAAATGACCTTGACCTTTGACCTTTGCATTAATTTCATGATCAAAGGTCAATGAATCTTATGCAGTTGGTCCCATCTCTCTATCACTTCTCGTTTTGAAAATTTTTGATTATTTCTAAAATTAAAAAAGTTTCAGGGGCAATAACTCATTGAAGGTGTCACTGAATACTTTCGCAATGAATAGATTCCAGAGTCCTCTCAATTAGTCGAAGACTTTAGTGAAGGTTTCATATTTCTACGGTTTACGGTTTGGAAGGAGTAGCGATAACAAGCATTTCTTGCGAAAGGGGAAATAACTTCGAAAGAATTCATAGTTCATATACGCAGGGTTTTTTGCAAATATCTCTGACAAAGTACATTCTTATAAACTATAAATCTTTTCAAAAGACCTTGAAACAAAAATTCGTCCGGCGGAAAAATAATAAAAATAATAATAAACAGAAGAATATCAATAGGTCTTTCCACAGAAAGGTGGAAAGACCTAATAAACATAAGCATTTCAAGAGGTCTTTCCACAGAAAGGTGGAAAGACCTAATTACAAGATAATCAAGGAAACGAATTTGGAAAAAATAAAACTGTAACCTCAGAGGTACCTTAAGTACAGCTGTACCCTTTTATTAAGTTTAGTTAGTTGTATACTTTACACCGAAAATTGTCGCATTTTGTTTTAAAGATTTGTACCAAAAAAACCCATCTGTCTTACAATTGACAATGATTTCCAATGTAAAAATTCTGACAGAAGGTATATCACTTTACACAGTAACAGCCTGTGTTTACCAAAAAGAAAAGAAGCTTCAAAACATAACAATACTTAGGCCATCGACTTGCTGCAATCTGAAACCATTAAAGGTTGTTATAAGTATGTCAATTGCTTCTGTATGGATTTAGTAATTTATACTCAAAGATACGTTACTATAAAACTGGATATATACTTGTGATCATATATGCAATCCAGTGAATCACGCAAAAAGTCAAATTTACTTTGACTTGTTAAAATTAATGAATGATTACAATTACATGTACATATTAAATGATAACCAAAGTTTTGTTTTATCGGAGGAAATATCTGCAGATATGATTTTGCAATGATCAGTTGTTTTTGTTAAGTACTGATTTAGGTAAATAAAAAATAAAATAACCATGGTAATTAGAAAAATAGAAAAGTGTATTACCAAGCGTATCCATGTGTTGATTTCAATGATCTGTCTTGGTTCGTTCTGAAATACAAAAAAGGTCAAATTTTCATGGTTCTAGGAAACAAATGTGATACAGGGAAATTATTTCGTGGTTGAAGAAGTATTGAATGAAATATATGGAGATGGCGAACAGTATTGAAGTTCAAAGTTCATAAGACAATACAAAATTGGAGCAGAGAAGACAGGAATATTCATCAGAGGTGGGATCAGGTGCCATGGAGGAGTTAGCATTCCCCTGTCGACCGGTCACATTTGCCGTGTGCTCCCTGTTTTGATTGGGAAATAACGGGACAATCCATCGACAGTTTATTGTGTACATAATGGACAAATGTTTACATCCACTGAATATTTTCTCCTTTATTTCTAAAGTAAACCCATTGCGTTAATCACTGCATGAACTACATAAGGCATGTCGCCTGTACAGATTTCTTGATCAGTGACTGTTCCATCAAGGAAACGTATAAAGACGTTCGCATCATTAATACAATAATTAAACTTTTTAATCCTTTTTTGAATGGTTATTTAAACACATATAAATATAAACAATAAAATGTCTTTCTTTGTTTGTTATTACTGGAATTAACGGTCGCAGCTATTGCAGAAAAAAATTACATAACCCGCTTACATGTACGCAGGTTGTGTATTTTTTCTGCAACAGCTGCTTCCGTTAATTCCAGTAATAACAAACAAAGAAAGCATTTTAATGTTTAAAGAATTCGTAGGAAAAACGTCAGTCAGCATTTGACTTAATGGACGTCAACCCCTCAATGGCACCCGATCCCATTTTTTCTTAGTCTTTGCGTGGATCTGGAGGTAAAAGTATATAAAAGATGTACACTGAGCTTTCAAACTCGTGTTTGAAAAATATACGTGAAACTAAATAGATTTATGTTCTTACAAGGTCAACGATCTGGCGAATAGCTATTCCGAGTTTAACCTGTACAGGTGAATTTGAAGCACAAACAGGCCTCACATGGTTATGGTAACTCAGGAACAAGTCGTCCACCAGTGATGTAAGATTAGATGCCTCTGCAATGGAAAAAGATTTTATTTTACGTCTCTCGTTTAGTTTATCCTGCAGGGTAATATATTACCTGTACTTGATAAATATTGGACATTACAAACTTTTTATCAGAAAAAAATGTAACCAAGACTATGATCTGGTCAATAAAACATAAATCTTCTAACTTTTTTATTTGAATACATGTCTATTGTCAATGTCAACGTTTTTTTTTTGTAGTTGATGTCTTCCAATTATATGTTGAAATTTTAATAAGCATATATTGTACCTTTTTATAATCCGACCCGTTTTTTACATCCTTTCAAGGCATAAGTTATTCAAAATCTTCTTTAACATTGGTTTTCTATTTGAATGCTTTACTAACTTTAAAAGTGAATTGCAAGCTTAAAAGTGAATTTTATCAGACAAATGATATGATCAACTTTTCCACCATAATCTTCCATTATTTTTATGGTAATATTCTCCTATCACTTGCACACGGTGTTTACGTCTTTCTAACTACAGGACTTCGGTTTGCAGGAGTATGGATTCAGCACAATTAATCTTAAAACAAGACAGGCTACTAATATATAAGTTTATGTGACGGGACCTTTTACAAACTCGTTTAAAATTAGCATTTTGCGAATTCGCGATCTTTATACTGATCCTGTTTTCAAATACAATGTTTTTCAGTGATACTTAAGCTGCTTGGTTTCGTACCAGTTGTATGGCAATTGTTTCTGTTAGTTTTGACGACAGATATTCCAGTTTACCTTACGCAGGTGGAGAGGGCTCATATCGAGTAGTGACTCAACAAAGAGTATACTTACTCATTCTAGGCTCCTGACCCCACTTTTGATGTTTGTAGAGGAACGTATTTATCTGTTAATTAATGTCTTATTGTTTACAGGAATTAGAAATTGATAACTAAAATAAGGACATAACTACTAATTTTGTTAAATGAACACAGTTATGTCCTTTTTTAGTCTATTTAAATATAAACCAGATATTAAAAAAACGGTTTTTGGTTTTCATTCGCCAACTAGTAATAAAGGAATTTCTTTTTTAAGGGAAAAAAATGTACATTATCTTTTTTAAATGCCTTCGTAAAACAGTCCCCAGCATGTTGAAGGATAATTTGTGATTTACTCGACCTGCCAAGATATGCACCGGATTTAGATGCTTGCATAAAAAAAGCAGACTACATCCTCCTAATGGTAGATCTTTTTCCTTTTCAATCATAATATAAACATTTGACCCTCATTGAAATAGTAGTATTTTCCCTGTCTGTTGAGGTCTATTATTTTAACAAAATGAACTTTCAGTGCTTACGCATACGTGACATTTTGACAGCTAGTGCATCTGATCCATTGAGACAATGGAGAAGAAAATTGACTATCATGCACCAAATGAGGACATTTGTCAATAAACGTAACAGCTGATAATCCTCTTGAAAGGACAATTGTTTTCTATACAAATTTGACTCTCAATTTGACCTTTTCCCTGTATGTGACGAAGGATGTTAATTTGAACATATTGTGAATACCCTTTGTGTGTCGATACATTTAAGAATCTTAATTTTACAGTAAAACTCAACATCCTATTTTTCCATTTTTTAGACTCTATTTAAAAGATACGTATCTTTCTTCGTTTAACCCAAGTCTCTAATATTAGTGTTCGTGGTATTTAATTTACTATAAGTGATGTCCACATCACTTAGGATTAAATCGACATGCAAGTATGGCAAGCCCTTTTACTATTTATTCGTGAAATAAAAATTTTCTTTCAATAAGAGAGATATCTCTTTAGTGTATAGAGATATCTCTTTATCTAAAAGATATTTTAAAGATATCTCTTTCAACAAGTTAAGTTCAATAGATTCTCTATAAGTTAAAAGAGATATCTTATGCTAAGAGATATCTCTTGTTAGATTTTTAAAAAGAGATATCTTTATGAGATTTATCTTTCTTATATGAAAGAGATATCTCTTTTCCAGTGATGCTTAAAATAGAATAATTAATTCTCCACCTTAAAACGAAAGCGAAATAGGAAGTAAAGTATCTGCAATAGTTCTATGTTAAGCTTTAAAAGATTTTAGCAAGGAATTACCCTGAATAATACATGTACTTCACAAAAATGCTATAAATCCCTTACTTGAAACAACAAATAATAATGGCAACTTCGTTGATAAAAATGCGTAAGTTTAATATTCACGAAAACGAAAGTAAGCATATGCAATGGACCGGCAATTTTCTCTGCTTATGAAATAAAAACTATACTTTCCGTCACTTCCGGTAAAAAGTCATTTGAAATGGAATTTAAATAAAAAATATGTTAGAGATATCTTTGAAAAGAGATATAACAGTGAAAGAGATATCTCTTTTGATGACACTTTTGAAAGATATCTATATCTTTAAGATATAATGTAAGAGAGATATCTCTTTTATATATGTTCTTTATCCTTGAGGATATCTCCTAAAGTAAAAGAGATATCTCTCTAAAAGAGATATCTTCTAAACCTTTATAGATATCTCTTTTCACACTTAAAAGTATCTCTGGGATTAGATAAAAGAATCTTTTCAAGCAAGAGATATCTCTCTATTTAGAGATATCTCTCTATTGAAAGATATCTCTTTCTGTTAATGATTATCTCTTCAAAATAAGAGATATCTCTTTAAGTTGAGAGATATCTCTATTTTTAAAGAGATATCTCTCTAAATTGAGAGATATCTTTGTAATCTTAAGATAAATTTTATTTTCCGAATAAATAGCAAAAGGGCTTGCCATATGCAAGGGTTTTTTCTGTATATAAACAAAAAAAGTTTCTAGATCGATCGACGCATGCTTATGGCATGCTTATGGACAAACAACTTTATATACAAGTATTTTATACAAGTATTTTAAAGATATCATTTCACAAGTCTAAGTTCAATACATTGACTCTGTAAGCAAATTCTATCTATCAATAAGTCTTATGCTGACTGACGTTTTCATTGTTAGGCCATATTTTCACACTGATTGTCTACAGATTTTCCCGCTTTCCTTATAATGACCAGGAGCATACGATGGATGTGACTGGTCGACAAAGAATGCTTACTCTTCCATGACACCTGATCAAATATGAGGGCATATGTGCAAATTCTTAAAAGCTTTAACATTTAAATTTTAGACGGGTCTTACTGTTTTTGCCACAGACTTCTGGAAATAAGTGGATTTAATGTTAGTTTGAAAATTTTCGGCAAGAATCATTTGATGCAATCTATTAAATGGTCAAAAGAACTTTAGGTTAAAACGGTCAAAGGAATTTTCGGAGATACTGAGTAAATGGCACTATTAATGAACCAAACAGGCATTTTATGGTTGTCTTGTCTAATTGACTGAAAGAAATCTATTATTTTCACGTAACTCTCAAAATAGTCGAGAGAGAAGGATAAAACACAAAGCTTTTGGTTATTTGAAAATAACAATGCGCTCTGTGATGATGACCTCTGTCTCCTAATGGTTAAGTAATATAATGTTGGGAAAAAAATCTTGTTTATATACTTTTTTGGAATACTTTGTCAAAATTCTAGCGTTTCTTTTATTGTAAGGAATTATGATAAGTGCAGCATAAGAATTTAAACCTCATATGCTTTTCACACTTAAAAGTCGGCTGGGATTATATAATAATGAAAAGCAATTGAGTATACTATTGATTCAGTTGTACTCCCAATTGAAAGTGTGATGATATTGTTTGGTGTTAATGGTTAACATGTTTGGACTATAGAAAGCAATAGAAATTTATAGAAAGCTGGCTTTTAACACAACGACGGATAAAATTAACTGGGAAAAAAAGTTCAGTCTCCAAAATAATCTGTAAAGAATGAAAATTCCTAACAACTGGATTCTCCAATAATCATAACACTGAAAAGGAAATTCGTCTCCCAAGATCTAAACTGAGTCATTGAACAACAGTGAAATTATTTTTTATCCTTTTAATCTAATTTTCTGTACTCAGAATTCATACAATTAATAAATCAATTTGCATTGTGTGGAAATTATTTTGAGGTTTACTTTTTTGGAAGATAAACACTTAATTAACTAGAGATATAATAGATAATGCAAATATAGTGAATAATGATCAACGTTACGGTGAAATTACACTCATCGTTAAGACTTAAATCGATTAAATAATCCCGAAAAAAATAGAACTCATTGGAAGAATACAAGCGATGTCAATATTTGATATGGAGAGCACAGAACATATTGATATTTATATTTGGAAAATACGCCTATGGAAACTTCATATTAGGAATCAAAACACCCAAAGAAATATTATCACAACTTAAACGAAACGCCTACCTCTGTATAGTTATAGATTAATCTATCAGATTCTATCGGAGAAAATTATTTTTTATCAAACAATTATGTCAAAATGTACACGGTCCCTGAAAATTGCTTTTTTCATCGTTTCCTGTCGGCTTAGCTCACTGACTCAGAATTATTAACAAATGATTGGTTAACTAGTGTAGAGAACCAGGTTTTGAGTAGATTAAAATCAAGACTTAACGCCAATAGTTCCTATCACTGAACAATAGGCAAAGGCGAACACTAATGATTGTTACAAAATTAATTACATGAACTTTCATCTGAAATATTGATTGGCTGACCTGTTCTCATTAATTGCTCGCATTATTTCTCGTTCTAAATATGTTCTAAGTACTGTAGAAGTACTTTTTCCGCGGGGTCATAATTCCGCGGAATCTCAATTTCTGTTTAATCAGCGGGTAGAAAATTACGCGGATTTTCTAGATTGTCACGATATGCCTTACATTTATAATAAGTACGCTTGGACAAATTTCTGCGGAAAATTTGTGACCGCGTACATAGCGTAAATTAATACAACGCGGAAAAAAGTACTTCTACAGTATTCTGAAACAAAAATTATCAATGTCGGGAAAAAATGTTTCCTTATATACTACATAGTAAAGCGTTCCATCAAATCTGATGATTGTACGCTGGTCCTGCGCAGATGTAGCACTAAATTGCAATTAAAAAGTATAAATAGTTGAAAACAATTTACACTGTACATGAAAAAAGTATATGTATTATTTTACATTGTGCTCTAAATAGCTCTAGAAATATAAGAGCTATGGAACATAACTTTGAACCTTCGTTCTGCTGCCATCACTGAGTGTGGAATAAAATTCCATAATGTCACTCTATGGGGAAAGAAACTAAAATAATAATCTGTGCGTGTACTGAAGGTCTAAAAATGAAGGGGGCTTTACATCGCTTTACTTTTTTTTAATATTTTGTTTGTCAGTCGTTTTTTGCTTTTATAGAAATCATATATTTAGAAAAATTTATAAATCGTCTATTGATGATCGTAATATAAGAAAAAATCATATTCTCTTTAAAAGGAAATGGACATCATTTTAGTACTATAAAAATTGTGTAAAATAAGAAATTGACATTTTTAAAAGCTCCTAGACTTCAAATCATGTTACGGAGTAATAGATTATAAGGCTGGAATCTCTTTTACCTTCTTAAAACTATTAATGCTGTATTATTGATGCGAAAATTAGATTAGCAGACAACATTCAAATGACCAAAAGCAATACACTGAAGAGCTCCCAGGTGTTTTCGATAGAATTGTGTCTAGCATATGCAAACACTAACTCTACATTTCAGAAATAAAGTTTATTAATTGTTTTATTACAAAGCTTTACATAAAGTGGAAGTTAGCAATAAAAACGAATGATGTTAGAAGTCCCCTTAACTTGTAAATCAAAAGAGACTAAAAATATACTTTATA